TCCTTTATTTATTAAAATTAATTTATAGTGGTTTTATATATGTTTTTTTTTATCATTGGCAGGAGTAAAATATAAAAATTATAAAAAGAGTATTTCTTTAGTTAGGTAAATATGAAATATTGCATATTGATATATTGTATTCTCCTTTACAGCCAGCAGGTGAAATATTAGGCTCCTTTTCACGTTTTTGCTGTCTTATCTCCTGTTGCAAACAAAAAAAGCCTCTAGCTTGCAAAGCTCGGTAGCTTATGCTGCAATTAACACTTACAAATGAATTAGTCTGAGAAGTGACTCAACAACGTCCCTTCCTGCATATTGCTGAGCCCAACAGGGTTATTCACAAAAGGGTGAAGAGTTTGGAGAAGGCAGGAGAAGTGAACAATCTAGGACAAGATAGCTGAACTGGAAAGTGACTTCTCCTGCCTTCTCCAAACCCTTCGCCCCCTTTAGTGAATAACCCTGCAAGGTTTCAGTCAGAGACTTTGTCAGTTGTGAAATGTTGAAATGTTTGTAATAATAATGAAGCATATGTAAAACATCAGTTTTAAAATATAAACTGCAAAAAGATAATTATAATAAACTGACCTAAAACGATTATAGCTTCCATTTAACCTAAAGTAGAACTCCAGGCAATCAAAAAAATTAACCCCTGAAGTGGGGATACCCCCGCACTTCAAGAGTTAACTGCTCATTTTGGTCTAGGGGCTCAAATAAAGAAGATACACTCACCTGATCCTGTGGTGCTGGCAGTAGAATGTCCCTCTCATGGCTAATGCATTTAGACGTGATGATGTCACTGGTCTGAACGCTGGGGCCCTTGGAAGAAGAGGCTGCAGGGGAACAGTCTAGCAGCAAAACGAGACTTGCAGTGCAGGGGTAGACCCACCTCATGGGTTAAATTTTCAATTGCTCTGAGTTCTTTTTTTGTTTTTCGACCGATAATGATTTCATTTAATTAACCACTGAACCTTCACATTCTCAAATAATTCATTCCCACAGCTACCTTCTCATGTATCATTTCCCCCTCCTCTTTCAGATTGTAAGCCCTCACGGGCAGGGCCCTCCTTACCATCTTGTCTTGAATTGTATTGTAACTGTAATGTCTTCCTTATATTGTAAAGCGCTGCGCAAACTGTTGGCGCTATATAAAAACTATGTAATAATAATAATAATTTAAACATTTTTTTCTGTGTTAAAATAAGATGTAATCCAGTCATTCCAGAATATTGAAATAAAAATTATATGTATAGGATCACCTTTTTAAACAGAATTTTCCATACATTATTTAAGTATTGTTACGCAATTGTTTCAAATAACTCTTTTGCTTCCAGCAGGTGTATATATGTGTGGTACTCCGGGAGTTAAGATAGTTGGCTTACTGCTATAAATACAGATCTAATAACAAGAATCTTAGATTATACACTCACAGCTATATGACTCAGAGGAGTGGTATAACCCCCTCCTCCTCTTCAAGTAAAGACTTCAAGTGCCATCTCAATCTTTTGTCTAAAGGAGCAAACAGCATATGCAGAGCTAGTGGCTTTCTTAACAAACATCCCAGCGTGTACTTCATACTCTAAAGCATTGAAGCTCATTGAATAAAGTGTTTATTTGTGAAATTCAGGGTCCATACAAATAACAAAAAAATGCATGTATTGTACATTCACTCACACACTGTGTATCTATAACACAATTTGTTTTAACTTTCGACAACTATTAAAACAAAACTGAATAAAAAGTATTATAGATTTTTTTGTGTGTGATTAACTGTTTTGTTTAAGGATAAACAGGTTACATCTAAATAATGCTCGTAATTGCTGAATCACAAAATGATGAGCTTGCATTTAGTATAAGTTAATTGGCCCCTGTCAAAATAGCCCCTGTATGTATGCATGTGAGGTAGGGACCTTAGATTGTAAGCTCCTTGAGGGCAGGAACTGGTGTGAATGTGCACTATGTAAAGTGCTTCGGAAATTGCTATATAAACACCTGTAATAATATACAAAGCCAACAGTAAATGTAAAGTCAAAGCTGAAAAGTCCAGGCAGATACTTGTCAATCATGCAGAACCATCAGGGACGCATCTGATCACTGCCAAATTCATTCTACAGCAGGACAATTGCCCCAAGCATACAGCCAAAGCTATATTCAGCAGAAAGAACAAAACGTTCTGAAAGAGTTGGTATAGCCCACACAAAGGCCCTGGTCTCAACATCCTTGAGTTTGTCTGGGATCACATGAAGATACACATGCAACTGAGACAGCCTGAATCCACAGAAGAAATGCGGTTAGTTCTGCTAGCTGCCGAGTGCCTAGCTACTACCTACCTGCCGAGTGCCTTAAAAAACTGTGTGCAAGTGTACCTAGGAGACTTGATGCTGTTTTAAAGGTGAAGGGTGGACATATCAAATATTGATTTAATTTAGGTTTTTTTTCCCCATGTAAGTTGTTAATTGATGAATAAAAACTATCCACTATTTTTTACAGCAATCCCTCTATACAACATTTTTTTCACAAGTGCATAACATTTTTGCACAGTAGTGTGTGTGTGTGTGTGTTGTGTTCTGTGCATTTTAATTAGTGACAAGGATATGGATTTGGTAACACATTGTAAATTATCAATTAACTGTACTACTTAAACTGCATGATTCAATCTGTTTTAACTGCCTTTTTATGCTTCATTTCCTGCGCTCAAGTTTTATTACTCAATTAAGTTAAAAATTACAAAATGGTACAAGTTGGAAGAATTGTGATGACTAAAAGTCAAGCGAGTAGATTACCTGATGTAATACTTACCCTTATTAGGTCAATAGAAATGGTCTACAGAACATATGCCAGCAGAACTGTTTTTGCATATGTGAAATCTTAATGAAAAGAATGACGTAAAGGAATGGATTAATATTAATAGCCATCAGGGTGTTATTTAATATCCAATGCAGTATACAGTGAAAGTAGAAGCTAACTATCCTGCGTTAGTATATTGTATAGCCAGAAGTATAAACTTCTGTCCAGAATTAAGAAGTACGTTTGTAATAAAAAACATTATATTTAGTGAATGCTACAGGAGAACTAAGTCAATAGACCTATATTAACTAGTTTACAATCAAGCCAATTTATGTAATGATCTTCACAGTATAAGGTAACCTGTACTTTGTCCACATAGGGCAAAGTCACAGGCTCACTTTAATTTAGCTCTTCCCAGCAGTTTATTCTTACCTTCCTTTAGCACCTCACTGCTCCATTCAGCCATATGTGAGCCACAAGTTGAAGAGTAATAGCTTACACAGGAAATATGGACTCCCTGTGTGACAGTGGTGATTGGCCCAGTGCTGCCACATGGAGTAAGTCACATACTCCTCGATACCCAAAAGTACTGTGTATTTTCATTCAGTTTTTGTCAAGTAGCAGAGCAGCAGGGGACTAAGGGAAGATAAGTAGATATTGGAGAAGGTTAAAGGGATTTAAGTAAACCTGTTGTTTTGCATGAAATAGGAAAAGCACAGATTTGCTTTAAGGAGAACCACACCAAAAATATAAAATTTCAGTAATAAGCTCTAAGACTAGCTGCCTACCTGTGTATGTCTCTTTGTATGTAGTAAAGCTCATAATCCACATTAGATTTGGGGCTACTGTATGTAAGTGTCTAGGGCAAAAATATACCCTTCAGACTGCTGAAAAACAATCAACGAGCAGCACTCTGATAAGACATCTTTCTACTCTCTTTGCTCTTTCATCCAGCCTTCATATTCTCTATCAGTACGCGTGCATTGTAGCACTGCCTGATTGGCACCCTTCCACTTCCAATGCTGCTGTATGGGGCATTACAGGAGGATGAGAGCAAGACAAGTAGAGGTACTTATACTACTTGGATTTAAAATTAAAATAGAGGAGGAGAGAAGGGGATGTGACATCATCTCTCCTCCTCCAATCACAGAGCACCTTGTATTCTTAAAAAAATACAAGATGTTTTGTGAATGGGCAAGTAGTGAGTAGGGACGGGTGAGGCGACTCATCGCAGTGTCCAGAAGACTGACGGTATGTGTAGGAGCCAACTTGCTGCAAGGTAAAGGTTTTATACTTTACAACAGCCCTCCACACATGACACACCTTCCCCCCCAGCTCAGACTAGGGGAGGACAAGGAGCACAAGGAGTCAATTAGCTATGCTACAGTACAGTTAGCATGTGAAAGGACCTCTGTTCTAGACGGCTGGGGGATTCTCCTTCGAAGCGCTTCGGGAACATAGAATGGACTACACTGAGGCAGATTCAAACATGCTCAATTTATTAGTAGATCGTTCAAGTTATTTATACTGTATAGAAAGCTTGAATTGGGCCGGCCGTTTTTTTACTACGGCCGGCCCGGAGGTGGTTAAACTTTGTACCCTATGAGCAAATACTGAAGTGTCTTAAATAACAAGTTTACAAGAAAGAATTGTGGCATCATATGACATCAATCATTACTAACTTGCTGGCATGGGAACAGAGGACTTTGGAATCATTAGTTATAGATAACTTATCAACATCAGCTAGTTCCAATATGCTATACCATAAAAGAAGTGCAAAGTACAATATAGATAACATAGAATGAAAATCTACAGAATACTCATAATTAAGACTTTCTTGACTTTAACATACAGTATATTTCTAAAGAGGACCGGTATTATATTGAATTAAAAGGGGGCTTGTATTGTATTATCAAGTTGACACTATCAGCATGCTGATAGACTTAAATAACAGCGACGTGTACACTATATGTGTATTAGTGAGCTGGAGCAGAGAAAATCAGTACTCAGGCCAGACAGGCCTGTGCTGTATGGCAGAGCTTCGTAAGAACTGAATGGACTGAAATAAAAATCCTTTGCCAGGGTAACGGAGCTCCATTTTATGTATTTTACCTGTGTATATTTATCAGTTTGACTTTAGTTTCACTTTACGTTGAACCGTTCTGGAATAATGGCACAGAATTGATCCTAATATATATTTATTTTGATATTTATAGGTGCAACTTAGCTCCTGTGGTTGAATTTGCATCTGACGTTGGAGCCAAATCAGATTTTATTACCATGAATCCTTCGGTGGTACAAAGAGCATTTGGAGGCTTTCGTAATGAGACAGATCGGCAGAAGTTTGTACAAAGACTGTCCATGCTTAATGACAGTGTCCTGTGGATTCCAGCCTTCATGGTCAAAGGTGGAGAGAAACACGTTGAGTGGGTTAATGCACTAATCCTTAAAAACAAACTAAGAGTACAAACTGCCTACCCATCACTGAGACTCTTTCACGCTGTCAGAGGGTAAGTACCTGAAAATGGTTACTTTGTCCTGGCAACAATTGATTTCTCAAGTAAAATTTTATCTAAAAGAATGATTTAAGTGAAGGCTTGAAAAGGAATATATAATTTGACCGGCACTGTGTGTTCATTTTACAGAACAACTTCTTATTCCAGTACAATGCTACGCAGTGATCTATATTGAACACATGAACTTATGGGCATAGTGAGGATTATAGAGAGCTCTAGTGTTTAACCTTTTGTTATACTATTGCATTTGCGGAGAAAGATGACTATAATGTGAACGTTTTAAACATATATTGCGGTATATTTCAACAAAGGTGAAAATTGCCATTCCCTGTGGTTTGGCTTTGTATGCAATGCTGAACAGCTATTCAATATGTCTTAGTGAAGCATGAAAAGCTTTAAAAGTTAAGAGCAACAGGCTAAATACAGAATGCATTATAATCTGTATATACTTTCACATGTTGCCACATGTCCTTGTGTCCTTTTTCACATTTCATACAATATTTTTTTTCCCTTTTAGTACTGCTATTCTCTGTGTGCCTGCTAAATGACCTCTGGTTAACATATTAAATTGAGGAAGTTTGTTTTTAAGAAGCATGGTTTACATTTTTAGGTGTTTGGGCAACATTTGTGACATAATGCAGCTGTATGGCGAAAATTGTAACATAGTCATTGGATTTCTAAAGAGCAGTGGATCTAGCTATTTGTCAATTTATAAGGGCAGTTGCAATATATGAATTTTTTTTCTCTTGGGTTCAGATATCTTTTGACTGTAAGAAGTATTGTCCAGTTGCCTGTCCTGTGTAAGGGGGCTGTGAAAAACTCTGGTTGGACAAAAATACAAAAACATTGGCAGGCAAAACTGCTTTCATATATGTATTTCACTTGTGTATTTAGCTTTCTGTCTGGAGTTCAGCTATAAAGTTTAGGTTTATATTGCAGCTTACCATTCCTTAGATATGGTGGTCACATCATTTTTCAGGCTAAGAATATTTTCAGCAAGTACAGAAAATACCTGTTGATTTGACCAGAAATGCCTTGTTTTTGTGACTACATGTAAGTCACAATGTTATATTCCTTCCAAGCTATCTTCTATAAAGTACAAATTACCCTGTACCCCCCATGTAATGGAGATGAAGACTTGAGAGGGAGACTTGTTTGTACTTAAAATCAGGAGAGCAACCTAGGATGGCAGCCATGGCCCCCTCCATAGATGCAAATGTGTAATATGCAAGAATACAATTAATGTAGCCACCACATCTAAGGACTAGTAAGCTGCACTATATAATATTTTTGTTCTTGTGCTTAGACACATTTTAAGGATTGCAATGGTGTCCTTTCTTCACCCCCAGCCTTTTGATTTGACCGTGAAAGAGTAGCAGCAGACCAATGATGTAATCTCACCGCCGACTCTGCTTTACCTTGATATCAGCATGTTCCTTGTCAACACATTTGCATGCAGTGTACCTGGTTGACTTCCAGTCCTGCTGCTCCCTCTCCCAGTCTGAAAGCTTCTGTATAGGTGATATTTCTTTATTTAAGTAAGAAGATAATACCAAGCCAAATGCAAGCACTTACACTAGTTTCATGCAAGTATCCCTTGCCTTTTGTCAGTATGAAGACTTTCACATTTCTTCCTTAATAATTTATGATGTCAGGGAAAGGTGGTGGCTGGTTGATAGAGATGGGAGTTTTGTGTAGAGGCTATATGAAGCGAATACTCGAATACTTAGAGCTGTTGTTTTGTACTGCAAGATCCACCTATTTGCTAGTTTGACCAAGGTCTTGCAGTGTACTAGCATACAGTCACAGCATTATTCACTAGGTGGAGATATGACTGAATGACAAAATTATGGATGTTAGGACAGTGACAAGAAGCTGCTGTTGGCCAGGTAGAAAAGCCGCTGCTACACAACACTTGTCAACACAACTAAATGCAGCCATATACATAATCTTCATCATGGATCACACCAAAAATTTGCAGAAAGAGATTTTTTTTTGGCATTACCATTTCCAACTGTCACATCTAAAGGATATCACAAAGGATTTATTGTTTTAAATAATGGGAGGTATTGAATTTAATTTGATGCATATTTATATGGCTGCATGTTAATTTTTTTTACATACACTGATTTTTCCTAAAATGCTTCTGTTGTGCCAAGATTGGCTTGCCTTTTTATTCTATCAGAAACCATTGACAATAAATACAAAGAAACTACAAACATCAAGCTCACACCCTTGTGTGTATCAGTAGATGGATTTTGTATTACAAGCAACACAATATAAAATAAGCTCATCTACTATGAGAGACCAATCCAGGTAGGCCAGATGAATAAGTGAAAAGAACACATTAACCAATGAGTTCCAAAGGCTGAATCCTTCTTCCAGAGCAGCTATAATCAATTTAAAAATGTATGTTATCTTTTAAGGGCATGATAACTAGGAAAACACTCTGTGGTGCCCCCTTCCATGGAGCCTCAAGCATGTGCTGATTTTGCTTAATGGTTAATCCAGCCCAGGGTTGCTTAAACAGAGTGCTTCTGTTTAGAGGACGAGTTAAGCAAAAAAAATTAAAAAATCATGAGCTTTAATCACGATTGCACTTTAGATTATTCACTGACCTATACTTATTTCAACCTCAATTTATTTTGTAGGTTCCATGTTTCAAAAATAAAACTCTTGAGAGTGGAAACATTTCCCTGTCTCCACTTCTGTAGATTTAAGCTTCTATTTTATCATTTCAGGAAGTACATTATGTACTATGTTTTATCTTGTATATGCCTTGTTTTGCCTTGTATATGATATACACTGGTTGAATTGTCTTGAAAAGTAAAACATATTGATGTATTATATTTATTTATAAAGACAATTTACTTCTAGTATTCTGTTTTGTTTTGTTTTTATTACCATTCAGAGACCTAGCGTGAACATAACAGAATAAAGTTCACTGCATAGTCTTTTGCTTACTCATACTTTTTTACTCAAAAATGATGTATTGTAATGGTGTTATTGGTGTTATATGGCCTATTGATTTGTGTAAAGTTTGATTTTATTGATAGGTCCATTTTAAAATTAGACTTGGTATCAAGATTTAGGTTAAGGATCAAGTTTAGGGGATTAAATGTTAAGCTATGTTTTAGCGTTCCAGGTTATTGTTTTATTTTAAGTGTTAAGCTTTAGGGCTAGGATGAAATTATGGGTAAAGTGTTGGGGTCTGGTTAAGGGTTGGTGTTAAAGTCCAACTCAATTTGTTTTTTAAATAGCCCCCTAACAGCTGTAAAATGGAAAAAGCAGCTCTTGCTATAGTTGCAATAGTCACCAGCTTTTGGAAATCACTCTAACAGAACCCTAGCTAGCAGTAAAACCTGATAAGGATTCTAACCCTTTCCTATTCTATACAAAGCTAAAAATCTATATATGGGTATAGATACACTTTATGTGTTAATTTAGAGGTTAGGTCAAGTTTAGTGTTTATCTGCAGCCTAAACTTTTATTTAGTTTTGGAGGTGCAGAAAGATTAGAACTCCTGTTAGGTTTGACTGCCATTGAGGATTCATTGGAGAATTTCCTCTCTGAGGAATCCATTGGAGAAATGGTTGTCCCCAGTAGGGATGTCCAGATACCAGTTCTGATACTTGACATTTTCACGAGAACTACCAGGGTTGCAGCGATTTCAACGGTTGCAGCGGGGACCTGGCTCTGGCTCTCCACCACTGTCCTGAAATCATTAGTCTGTATTGTTTTAGAAAAACTGTCACATGACAATAAACAAAAATGTATCAGTACTTGTATCTGTGAGTGCTTGGACAAGTATCAGTACTTGTACTTGGAAAAATGGTTTTGGTGCATCCCTTATATATAGATTTATAAAAAAAAATAATGTATTAAAACAGGGATGCACAAATCCCAGGAGCTCCGTATGCTCCTTAAAAATGAAAGCTGCCTCCTAACTTTTGAATTTTCTCTAGTCTTGTCCTGGAGCTGGAAAAGTATCTGTACATGTGCTTGAACTTGTACTTGTACCGAGTACGGTACTTGGTATCTGAACATCCCTAGTCCCCAGAACAGGAAGTGAGGGGAATTCTCTCACAGCAACACAGACTGATGTAAAAAATGTTGTTGTTTTTTTAGATAAATGGGGAAAAGCTAAAACCCCTGTTTTTGTGTGTTTCCCTGTTGCAGATTGTCTCTAACTTCCTGCCCAGTAAAACTTTGTTCCTGGAACAGAAATTGAGGGGAAATCGCTCTAACATACTATTCAAAACTAAAAAAAAAAAAAGGTTGGGGTATAGATACACTTTAATGACTCATGTGATAAGAGGGTTAAGTATGTCAGATTAAGGTTTCAGATTGGGAGATGTGATTGCACGCTTTATTTTTACCTTGGTTTGTGGTATGCTATGTCGAACATCAACATGACTGTTATAAGTTAGACTGTTTAGAGCAAATGATTGTGGTATAAACATGGCTTTTTACATTGTTCACTTAGCAGACAGTTGTAGTGCCAGCCTCATTTCAGAAGAACAATGGCACTATTTTTGAAAACCCCATACTGAAAGATAAATGCTTCCCCTCAAACTGGTCAACCAGGGTGTCTGCAGAGATAGCAAACTATTATGACATGACATGTGATTTACCAAGCCATCCATAATTAGCTAGATAAGGTAACATGTATTTTGCAAGCTTTACGCCTAAGCCTCATTCACACTAGCGTAGCGTGACATCGCAGGTTGTATTTGTGCGCATTTTTGTGTGTCTGTTTTGCATAGGGCAGCCCATTTATTTCAGTGGGCTACCCTAAGTGTGACAAACAAGGCAAAGAAGCTCATGCACCTTTTTGGAGCTTTAAGATTCTTTTTCATTTGCTGAGCATCTTTGCACATGAAATGCATACATCTTGCTTGATCTTGCCATTATCAATAAATGGCACCGTAAGCATGACACACTTTTTTGTGCATTTCTAGAAGGCACGCAAAGTTTGTGATTTTTCACAAGTG